CCGTGGTGTGAGGGGTGGAGGGAGAGGTGCGGAGAAGGGTGGCGGGACGGCTTTGTGGTTCCTTCGGGGTACGGGGCCGGGGAGATGGCGCTGGGACCCGGGCAGCAGCGGAGGCGGAGGTTGCCTTCCACCCGGGCAGCAGGGTCATGGCTCTGCAGGGAACTGAGTGCTCCTCTGGTGCTCCTTTGTGCTCATCGGATTATATGTGTACCACACGTAGCATATATATTATTAAAGCACTTGTGTGGAGCGTGTTGCTGCAGCACCATAACAGTGATAGAGATGCTTTCCAGTTTCATGCAGACTTTCTCATAAAGGTGTCAGGGAAGTGTGTGTTTCCAGGGAGTTGTGAAGGAGATGAGGCAGAGAGTACTCTGCGCTGGGTAAAAAACTGGCTGGACGGCCGGGCCCAGAGTTGTGGTGAATGGAGTTACATCCAGTTGGCGGCCAGTCACGAGCGGTGTTCCCCAGGGCTCAGTTTTGGGGCCGGTCTTGTTCAATATCTTTATCACTGATCTGGATGAGGGGATCGAGTGCACCCTCAGTAAGTTTGCAGACGACACCAAGTTGGGCGGGAGTGTTGATCTGCTCGAGGGTAGGAAGGCTCTGCAGAGGGACCTGGACAGGCTGGATCGATGGGCCAAGGCCAACTGTATGAGGTTCAACAAGGCCAAGTGCCGGGTCCTGCCCTTCGGCCACAACAACCCCATGCAGCGGTACAGGCTTGGGGAAGAGTGGCTGGAAAGCTGCCTGGCGGAAAAGGTCCTGGGGGTGTTGGTCGACAGCCGGCTGAACATGAGCCGGCAGTGTGCCCAGGCGGCCAAGAAGGCCAATGGCATCCTGGCCTGTATCAGAAATAGTGTGGCCAGCAGGAGCAGGGAAGTGATCGTGCCCCTGTACTCGGCCCTGGTGAGGCCGCACCTCAAATACTGTGTTCAGTTTTGGGCCCCTCACTACAAGAAGGACGTTGAGGTGCTGGAGCGTGTCCAGAGAAGGGCAACGAGGCTGGTGAGGGGTCTGGAGCACAAGTCTTCTGAGGAGCGGCTGAGGGAACTGGGGTTGTTTAGCCTGGAGAAAAGGAGGCTGAGGGGAGACCTCATCGCTCTCTACAACTCCCTGAAAGGAGGTTGTAGCGAGGTGGGGGTGGGTCTCTTCTCCCAAGGAGCAAGCGATAGGGCGAGAGGAAATGGCCTCAAGTTGCGCCAGGGGAGGTTTAGATTGGACATGAGGAAAAATGTCTTTACTGAAAGAGTGGTGAAACATTGGACCAGGCTGCCCAGGGAAGTGGTTGAGTCCCCATCCCTGGAGGTATTTAAAAGACGAGTAGATGAGGCGCTTAGGGACATGGTTTAGTGGGTGGTGGTGTTGGGTCAATGGTTGGTCTCGATGATCTTAGAGGTCTTCTCGATGGTCTTAGAGGTCTTTTCCAACCTCAATGATTCTATGATTCTAAGGTAGCTAGGCATGCCGTCTTCATACATAACACTGACTCTCCAGTGATGGATAAATGATGGTGCTGCTTAGGGACTGAAATAAGTCACACATTTCTTACGTGGATGTAGATGAGTTGTAGGAATGTTTTCCTTAACTAGAGGAAAATGTAGGATTTTTCCTGAAATCTGTTTTATGCATTGTCTGATTGAAAGGCAAGGGGAGGGGGTGTCTGTCAAATGAGTAAGTCAATAAATACACTTAGTTTTTTTCCTGAGTAATTGTTTTGGCTTTAGCAAACTGCTTGACTTCTCCCGTGTTGGATTTAGATGATAATGCAAAATACGTGGTTTGATTTTCTTCAGCTTACCCCATACTCGCCGACCAGTGGGGCAGACATGCTAAGAGCCAAGGATGCTCTCCTGTGCCTGCGGCCCCACCGCTGCACATGCCTGGCACAGCTTCCAGCCTGCAGGCTCGCGTGGCGTTCACTGCACAGGCAGCCGCTGCACCCCGAGTGGGCTGCCCTTGCTGAAAAGCAGCTGAAGGGCAAGAATCCAAAGGATTTAATTTGGCACACTCCAGAGGGGATCGACATCAAGCCCTTGTACTCCAAAAGGGACACGAAAGACTTCCCTGAGGAGCTGCCAGGGGTGAAACCGTTCACTCGAGGACCCTACCCAACCATGTACACGTACAGGCCGTGGACTATCCGCCAATATGCTGGTTTCAGTACAGTGGAGGAGAGCAACAAGTTCTACAAGGACAACATTAAAGGTAAGACAGCTGATTTGGGAAACAACGTTGCCTTGCAAAGCAATGGGGAACATTCATATGGTGAATTACGTGGCAAATGTGATTATTCCGCCTTGGGAGTTCTGATTTCTGATAGGCTTTTCCCAGTGGCGCTGTATTTACTACTGGGAAATTGGATCATTTCTGAAACTGCCCTTGCTTCATTTTGCTACTGAGGTGGAAAAATGAATGCGTTAAATGCTATTTTTAGTTATTCTGCCTTGACACCGACAGAAGCAAAATTTGGCTACATCCCAGGGTCCAACCAGCAGAGATCGTGGAGCACTTTACACTCATTTTGTGACCATGAGAGGAGATTATAGTGGAAAAATCTGTTGAGCTTCGTCACTTAGCACTTCTGGTGTTTGTGCATTCTGACATTTTGAGGTTCCATCTCATGTTGTAAATTTTAAATGAACTCATATAAATACATATGAATAGTGTCATTCATGGTGTACTAGTAAAACCAGCTTCCTAAAAGTATTGGTATTTTCCTTATTTGAGAGCTGTTTTCCCAATATTTCTGCAGAGTATTGTGCTTTGCAGCAATTTGTTTAGCTAATAGCCAGAGCGTCATCATAATACACTATTGAGTTAGGCATTGTAAAACCACTACTAAAAAGTTGTTCTTGATAGACTGAAGCATTAGTTTTACTCCAGCCATACATCTTAGCAATTGTTTGAAGCTAATTATAACCTTACCAGTCAAAACAACAGACCACTGAAATCTGCCTTCTGACTAATGCATCTGCGATGCTTTTATTTCCCACTTTACAGGCCTTCCTACTCAAAACATCACTGTTTAGGGCAGGGGAGAAGAGTTGTTTGGGGTTTTTTACCTCTTGCCATATCATGGTTAGCTAATACGAAGCAGTATTAGCTGCTGCGGTATTCTTGCAAGTATTCTCGATTCTTTCCGTTTATAAAACTCTCAGTAAATTAAGAAATTATGAATACAGGGTATTAGAGATTTGCAAACAAACATTTCAATAGAAAGATTGTTCTGAATATAATCTGTCTTACTGCTGAATGTTGCTGCTGAAGCAGAAGGGCTAACACTTGGGTTAGCTGGTAGCACAGCTCAATTACTCAAGAACGTTTGCTGCCAGGAATTTTTCATCTTGATTCGAGTTTTGACATTGTGATATTGTAATTTTATCTCTGTTGTTGTGTCAGCGGTTGTATGAATATTGAATTATTTAGCATAGCTTCTGAATCTGACCTATTTGTAAAGCATTTTAAATAATTTAGTTAAAATCTCTCTGTAATTAGAGGAATGCTGAAAAAGAATTAATTATTAGTTCTCATAATTGCTGAAATTTCTATTGCTTCAAACTAGGGAGAAATTTAAATTTTTGTCATTGTGCTTCTGAGCTATCACCTAGCTTTTTAGATCAAAGACAGTAGCTGGTATCTGACAATTAAGAGCTCTGCTGATGTTGAGAAGCAGACTTGCAAATGCAGTAGATACAGTTCCTTCAGGAACAGCAGTGCTGGTCAGAGAGTGAATGCCTGGGGTGAGCAGACTTTCAGGTACTGCTTTCAGGTGGGAGCAGCAAGTCTGGCAAGAGCTCTACCTGTCCTGTTCCCTGCTTTTATGAGTCATTTTCTCTTACTGCAGATTTTAGTAATGCATCATTTCACGTTAGGAATAAATAGCATATGGCAGTAGAGCCAGGATAACAAGCAGTGCGTGTGTGTTTAATCTGTGATAAAGAGAAGGTAATGTGACGTAGTCTATCACACTTTTGTTTCCAGCTAAGCTAAGTAGAGTTTCTGTATATAAGCCCTGATACTGTCTGTCTATGCACATTTGTAACTTGTGGCCAAACTGTTACGCAGTGATTTGTTAAGCATGGTGAGGTGATTGTGTGGCTGAACTAGAACTATGATATTTTTTTCTCAATTAAAAGCTTTCTCATTTAAAGTTTAAGACGAGAAGACCTTGGACAAGTTTGGGGAGGGAACAGCGTTTAACATCAAAAATTGGTTTGTCGTCCAAGCCTGGATGCCTGGATGATGTAAAATAAAGTTAATAAATTTAGATCCAGTCCTAATGCAGACCTGTTTAACACTTCTGAATCTCTCTCTTTGTTGTTTTGTTTGTTTGTTT